TGTAAAACATGTCCAGATAACCAAACATTGAAGTCCGTTCTAGTGAAGCTAGTTTGTTAGTTTATAGTTTATTTCCCCATAGGCCACACTGTTCTTGGTTTTTCAGTGGCAAATATTTGCAAATTTTATGGTTAAAAAAAAGAACTTGCTGCTATAGAAATGTATATGGGTCTATTTATAAAGCAGTGAGTGTGACTTCAACCAAACATTCTCTGGTGGTGAATCAATCACTATCATTTAAACACGTGAACATGCAATATTCACCTCCAGTGAATGTTTGCTAAATGTCAGATTCACTCTTTATAAATATGCACCTTAAAGTACAAATTGTCAAGGAAATCAGCAAGGAAATCAGCAAGGAACATTTCTAAAAACTGTAGGCTAAAGAAATATGAATAAGGGCAACTTCACGTGGTATTAAAGTCTTGTTTTTTTATTTTACATATATGTACTGCTAGCAAGCAGTAGATATATGCAAAAAAAGTTTTTTAAATCGGGGAGAGGAGGAGAGCTACAATGAAAGTCAATGAACGCAGCCATGAGCGTGCATGCAGGGCAGACTCCGTGGGACAGGACGAAACAGCAGTCTGCGCCTGTATCGGAGACTGGCACCAGTGCTGGAGGGACTGCTGAAAATGACTGGAAGGGAAAAGATGTATGCAGGCATCACTTAAGGTAAGTCCTTACAACAGCATTGGGGGGGGGGGAGAATTAGCCTTTAATGTCACTTTAAGTATTAATATAATATGTCAGTCTCACTAAATTATGAGAAGTTGCTTAATGTTGCTAAAAATGTAGACTGTATTTGATGTCTTACAGTGAGTGTGTTCCTTAAATTGAATAATTCCAGTAAAACTTTAGTTACTGCTTCTTTGTAACAGCCCTGATGTGATGTGTTCAATCACTGTTTATACGCAATAAAGAAACATAAATAAATACATATGGATTTATTTTACACAGCGTGAGATAACATAAAACTATGGTCAGCATGTGTTGGTTGAATTAGGCAAATTACGCAAAGAAAATGTTTGAGATTTTTGTGTCTGAGATGGACCTCTCAGGGAACCCTACACGAAAATAAAACATAACTGCTATTTGTCCATGATTTCCACAAGGATCGTCTGCACAATAAATCCTTTTTATTCTTATAAAACATTCATTAATTTCTTACTGTCAGTTCATATAATCAGTAGTGTGTATTGGTTTTGTGCTGTCCTAGGCAAGACTAAACTCGAGCACCCCCTAATCTAAATTTGCCCCACCCCTTTCTGTTTAAGATATTTTGCGTAACCTGTCAGTCGCTGAATACAGTGCACACACTATATCCAAATTCTGACAGGTTGCGCGTAGAGGGGAAGCCCACTGCGCATTTTGCTTATCCTGTCAGAAGCTGGATACAACGAGTGCCTGTTGAAATAGTAACAGGCGCGCCCTGTATCACTTCTGCCAGCGTCGGAGAGATTAGGTTGAGCTCGTTGGTGGATTCAGGTAAGGATAATTTGTTTTTAAATTAATGGCAGATGAGGCTCTGCCTCACTGGTTTGGGGGTGGCGTTTTTTGCCTCCTCCCTGGAAAGTGCCGCCCAACACAAATGCCTAGTTTGCCTTGCGGTAGAGACGACTCTGCATATAACCTCTGAGTTTTCTTAATTAAAATGTATTAATGGGTTGTATATAAGATGTAACATGATATTCTGTCATCTAATTTAGTAAGCATGTCATTTAGGAAATGTAGTGTGCGGTAAAGCTATTAGTCATTGCTATTTGAAATGTCTACATGTTTTTCATAGTGTATCTCCTGCTGGGTGTGGTAGTCTCTTTCACATGCTGCAACCTCACTACTGTGTCCCAAAGTAATGTTACTGGCCCTTAGCGGGGGCCACACTGTCTGGCACACTTGGAAATCTTGCATAGTAGCTGCACCCAGAGCTCTACAGCAGAGTGAAGGTTTAAAGCAGAACTCCAGGTAAAATGGTAATTAACCCTTGCAATGCGGGGGTAGCCCTACTGCAAGGGTTATGTTTTAACATGCGTGGAGTTCTTCTGTAAGGACAAAATCTGCCTGGAGTTCTGTTTTAATATACAGCCAGCCAAAAAGATAACTATAAAATCTCTTCTTTTACAGGGTGTCTTTGTTTTATTTTATTTTCCATGGGGACAGGGTTGCTTTAATGGCTGACCTATTCATTTCCTGTCCACTAAAGAGACTTTTATTATGTATCTTGCAGAAATTGGAAGCCTGGACAACCAGACAACTGGGCTTCTGAAATGGGACCTGGGGAAGACTGCGCAGGGGTAGTATTTTCAGGCTTGTGGAATGATTTCCATTGTGCAGATGTCAATAACTTCATATGTGAGAAGCCTAGGGTCAAAGGTAAGACGTGACCCAAAAATGCCTCTCTGACACTCTATTTAATTAAATGTATGTGCTTATCTTACACACAAATATATCAGACAGTGCTATTAAGCTTGTATATATATATATATAACAGCACACCGTTAGTCCTGTAAAAGTGATCAGGTGGCTCTACAGCCACCGAGATCACTCTTACCGAATTACCCTTCTAAAAATAGAAAAGAGCTAATGGCTGATGCTGCTAGATGAATGCAAGAGGCTGATAGCGAGCCACATTTCGGTATTTAGACTGGTTAAATTAATAACAATAAAAAAGTAATGATGTATTAATTGGTATATAGTTGCTTTCATTTGTGTCTTTTATATCCGCCTGGAGTTCACCTTATTTGAACCCTATAGGATAAAGCACTACCACAAAAATGTATTGTAGGGCCCTTTTTAATGTACTGTACACCCAGACCAGGGGACAAGGTTGCCCACCCCTGACCTAGACCATAGAGGACACTACTTTTCCCACCTTGCTTCATATTTGGAATAGATTTATGGGACCATGACTTGTGGTGTGTGTAAAAAGTTAAAATCATGGGATGTGTGAGTGGAATAGTAACAATGTTTTCTATCTATCAGTTCAGCCTACAGAAGTCTCATAGAATATGGCATTGCGAGCGGACATGGAATATTAGAACTACTTTGGAGATCGTCCTTTCAGAGGAGAACAAATAACTGGATTGTGCTATACCAACAAAATCACAAAAGCAAGCACTAAAACTGGGCCAATATGAACTTCTGCAATCTGTTATTATTTTTCCAAGAACTTTGCTGTGGATTGAACTTCAACTATTAACCTAGAGTTAGAGATTTGTCTAATACAATATAACCATCAACCGGGAAAATATTGAAATACAGTTTCATGATTACCTATGCAATATCTGCTTGAAAAAATATTTTGGATATAGCTTCAACAACTGTATTCAAACAGTGTTGTTTAACTAAAATCCAAACTGAATATAAGGAAGAAAATAATACAGGTTTATAGCTGGTTTTGTACTCAGTGGAATATATTTTTAAAAAAAAGCTTTTGAAAACATTTGTATTTTTGTACAAGATATTTGCATTTTATTATTTTTGTATGTAATATAGAGTTTCAGTGCCAAAGAACACATTATGCATTTTAGTAAAAATAGCTAATCATTTAAAGAGAATTTTATCACTCCAATGTTGCCAGTTCAATACTCCTGTGTTTTAATTTTAGAAAATGTTTTGCTGTGGTATACAAATAGGATATCAGTGGTCATGCAATAAGGCCAAAGCTAGAACTCAAATGACCTTGTTTCAGTTGTACCTTAAAAAGAAACATAATCCTATTTGTTACAGGCCTGTGTTGTACAACAGCGTTATCCACTTCCAAATGGAACATGAGCCTCTTGCACTCTCTGCCAGAACATTTGTTTATTGAAGCTATGGTCTTATAAATGTCAGTCAAAGCCCTTTACACTAAGGTTTATTCCTTCAAATCTCACATTGGATACTATTATGTTGTGGTATGTCTGCTTTAAAGAATGTCAGTAAACCATACCAAAAGTTTGGTTGATGGTCTTTCTTACTGTTTTAAAAAGATCCTATTAATTTGATTTGTAATTGTGTTTCACTGATTGGTGGGTTTAATGTCATATCTCCAGAACATTTACAGTGGAATATTAGAAAATGAAATTGGGTTGAATTGAGTTTGAAGGAAAATTTTACCCCAAACTGATATTTTGGTTTTTGGTGGATGGTGGTAGGTTAAACAACTTCCTGTACCTCTTCAGTGCTCCATTTTCCACAATTTCCCAAATACTACAGACATATACATTTCTGTATATGTACAGTATATGTATATAGTATATATACATATTTGTATATGTGTATAGTAAATACATTAAACATGTTTACTACAGAGAGTTGAGAATCTTTACTCAAAATATGTGTGAATATTCACTTTAAAGTAACACTAAACTCTGGAGTTAAATATTAAAAATACATTTAAGTACCTTAACTATTCACAAACATGTATCTTATTTGTGTATCACGCGGCTGTAGATCCTCAAATCATCTCTGAATTGGTTCTGACTCTGTCCTTCCTTCTGGAGGGTGACTACGTTTCTTCCTCATGGTCCCTGTGTGTTGTAAAGTAGCCACCACTCCAAGCTCCCTCCCGTGAAGGAATACATTCTCAATACAAATTAGTATACAAAACATGAGATTGAAATCCATCATGGGAGTGAGCTTGGAGCGGTGGCTACCTTACATTGACCATGGGGAACACACACATGGACCATGGGGAACAAAAGTAGCCCCCCTCCAGAAAGAAGGACAGTGTCAGCACCAATTCAGAGATGATTTGAGGATCTACATCTGAGTGATGAACAAATAAGGTCCAGTATTGTTAATGGCTAAGGTACTTGAATTAATTTTTAATATTTAACTCCTGAGTTTATTGAATAACTAAAGTGACACTAATGTGAAAAGCATCTGCACATGACTAGGTATTTCAAGTAATCAGAAATCTGCTTTTCACATGACTGGATCATTAAAATGAGTATTCACACAATTTTTGTAGTTAAGAATCTTCACTCCAAAAGTCATGAGTAGGTCGAATTACAAATGTAAAATGTTGAAAAACAAACCTGCACTAGGAAGGGAATCTGGAGAGCCAACGTACATAAAGAAACAGTCGAATCAGCAATAATAACACTTCTATGAGTGTCCTTCTTGTTACCCCAGTCAGTTGTCTTCATCTGCTGATAATATTAGGAATACCGGAAAAAGGGATTTTTGTGGTAGGATGTTTTGTTATGTGGTATTGGCCTGGGTATTATTCCCAGGACTGATTTAATAGAAACATGTGAAAAACTAATAAGTATGAATACAATGTTTTAGTTTGTATAATGATTATAGCTGATAGAAATAATTGTGGCAAGTTATAAAAAATATGCATAAGAGATATGTTTTGTCTTTGACCGATGAATGAATCTAAGAACAGGCGTGGAATGGATGAGTCACCTTCCCATAGGTTGTATGTTCAGGGGAAATTATCTTGCATTAAAGTTGAATTTAAGTTCTTTGAGTCCCAGAAGGAACACTAATGTTGATGGGTCTGTAAGCTATTAGTACTGGGCATGTCTGTGGTAATAGCATTTCCTTCTAGAGCATGCCCTTCTCAGTAATGGTTTTCCTTACTTGCAACATTCGGCACAGTTTCAACAGGAAAAATGTTTTCCTTCCGCTGACATTTTCCATTTTGAAAGGTCAACTCTTACATTCTAGAACAGTTATCGTCAACCAGTCTCAGGTCTCTTTAATGTTTGCCTCTGAGCAAATTCTCATCTTTGAAATATGTGTCTTGTCCAATACCCTGCTGCATTATACACTTCTCATTGGAATATAGACAATCAAAAGCAATCTAATTTACATAATTCATTAAACTTGTTTATGTTACTATTATTAGTGGTTGTTTGAGTGATTGTTTTT